GAATGGGAAGTTAGTGTTTATTGGGTACAGAGTTTCAGTTTGGGCAGATGAAAAATTTCTGGAAATGGATGGTGGTGATGGGTACAGAACAAGGTGAATGTACTTAGTGCCACTGAACCAACTGTATGCTTAAAAAGGGTTAAAATGATCAGCTTTATGTTATATATGTTTTATCACAATAAAAAAGCAAGCCAACAAACATTGGTATAACCTGATCACTAATCTCCTTTTGAATAGTATAATTTTATGATTTTCTGACTTCTCACTTCTCCCTTTCCAGTTTCAGTCAGTTCTATTTCTGGAGCTTTTCTGGGCCTCAGTTTCCTCATCTGTACTGCCTCATGGGCTTGTTTTGGACATTAAATGTGTTAACACATGTGCAACACTGAGAAAAGTGTCTGGTACGTAGTACTGCTCAATACATGTTAACTGATATTATCATCTCTCTCTGAATAAAAATTCAATTTTCTGTCTAAATTTGCATTTATTTTAATTCCCCTATTTGCTTCTTACTTCTCTAAAAGATTCTGTGCAAGCTGCTTAAACTGTTCTCATGTAGAGACTATGGCCAAAATCAGTGTATGACCACATTTAGCCTTTTTAATATTATGATCCTTGGAAATCATTGTGCTATATTTTCTCTTGTTTTTCCTTATTCATTCATTAGGTGCATCTAATAAGGATGTAGTTGGGTATTGGAACTGTGGGAAATACTAGATTCTCCTGGAGGCCTTTGTCTGTGCAGGGTCTTTTTGCAGTCTATTTTGTAGGGCCTTTTTGTCTTTTTTTTTTTTTTCTTGCCTGGGGAACTAGAGTTCTACCCCAGAGCCCTCCTCTGTCACTCAGGGCTCTGCTCTGTGGGGTGGAATACGTTCTCATGTTCTAATAGGTACCCCTATTCTGATGAGGGAAATTTGCATTCTCACTCCAAGTCCTGTGGTCTGGGTGACCTTCGTCATAAAGTGATCCCCAGTGTACTTGCGCTACTTGGGAATGATCCCCTCCAGGCACTTCTACACAGGCACTTGCACCCAGAAAGTCACCTCTTAAGACATCTCTTTGAACCAAATAATGGGACACTAGAAAGGATACTGGTTGTAGAGTTAAGAGATTTGATTTTCGAAATTTGGTTCCACATTTTGCTAATGTAACCTTCAGCAGATTGTTTAACATCCAAGAGTGTCCTCTATAATATGGGGTAATTGCTACATGTAATGATGTGTATATGAAATTTCCAAACTGTATAGGATATATATAAAAATTACTATTATTGCTTTAACATATACTGTTATTAATTGCTGAATTGTGCGGTAACAACAGCAAAGAAATATGAAGATATGTATAAATCCAGTAATAGTAATTGATATCTAACCTTTATTGAATTCCTGCTCTTTGCTAAGCATTATATGAAGGGTTTTACATGCGTTATCTCATTTGGTGGTGTTATACTCTCCATTTTACTGATGAAGAAAATAAAGTTTTGAGAAGCCACATTAAAAAAAAAGTCACCTCTTACATACATTAGGAGACAGGTGTGGCTAAAACAGGTGGCTTTATTTCAAAATGAAGTAGTAATTCTGTGTGGGAACACAAAGCAGACTGAATGCTTAATGAGGTTACAGTGAAGTAGAGGTGGATAAAACCTCAAAGGGGGAGAAGAGCTTAAGTACTAAATCTTAAGGGAACCCACATTTAGGGCATGAAGGAGAGAAAATACAGAATAATGCTCTACTGTCTAAAACTACCCAAGCCAATATTACTTGACTCTTCTGAAAGTTCAATCTGTGGCAAAATTTATACTTACCGTATTTCCCATATCATGTTAATTAATCTCTGGCTTTCACATGCTGACTGATTTGGGAGTAATTCAGATTCTCACTCCATTATTTAGGATGACACTGTCCAATTTGGTAGCCACTAGTCACACATGGTTTTTGAAACTTAAATTAATTTAAATAAATAAAACAAAAAATTCAATTCCTCATTTCAAATGCTTAATAGCTACATGTGGCTAATGACTACTGTATTGGACACATTGATAGAGCTGATTTCCATAATCACAAAAGCTCAGTGGATTTAGGAGATCTCTGTTTGTCTTTCCCATTGGGTCTATCTGGATATGCTATTTTTACTAAAAGAGAAACTTACTCAAAGTGAGTCAAGCTGTACACTTACAGAGAATAGTACAAAGTGGGATATATTGTTTAGAATCAGAGTCACCTGTAGGTGATAAACCCTAATTAGCAGTGTTAAATAGGAAAACAATTTTATTTTTTGGGGTGAGGGTATAGCTCAAGTGGTAGAGTGCTTAGCATGCACAAGGTCCTAGGTTATTCAATCCCCAGTATCTCCTCTAAAAATAAATAAACCTAATCCCCCCCAAATAATAAAATAAATAAATTAAAAAATATCAACTATACTTCAATTTTAAAAATTTATTTTTCACATTAACATCTGGATATAGGCAATCCAGGGCTATTTTGGCTGCTCTGATTCATAAAGTCCTCAAGGTCCCAAGCTCCTTCTGGCTTTCTGCTACTTCTGCAGGGGGTTGCCCTCATCCTCATGGTCCAAGATGGAGTTCTAATTGTCATTTCCAAGTTCTAAGCAGTAATGTGAAAGAAAAGGGGAAGGAGGGAGAAGAAATGTGTCGACTGTTTTTTAAGGAAAGCTCCCAGCAGCTATCACATAACATTTCTATTTCCATTGGTAGCTGCAAAGGAGGCTGGGGAATGTAAAAATTTTATTTATGTGCTCAGCTAACTATTCTATTATAATGAATCAAAGGAAGAACACATATTAGGAAACAATGAGTAGTTTCCCCCTCAGGGCTTAACTTCTGAAAACAAGGACCAGTTAGGAAATGCCAGTCAGAAACTGAAGCTATTAAGTCTGTCCAAGTCTTGCACCCTGGAAAATGGAAAATAAACTTTTTCCCCAGGTTTAGCCAAAAGCAGTTCAGGCTGAGGAGATTTATAATGGTGTGGCAGACACGGCAGGTCTTTCCCAGATCCAAGTCAGGAAGGGGCTGTAATGGAGCCACATAGATTGCAATTATAATTGTAAAGGAGGATAAAATCACCTCAGTCTGAAGGGATTGTTACTGCTCATATATTGGTGGGTGTTGGATTTGGGTTTACCTACCTGGAGTCAACTAAGACAAGAACCACAGAAAAAGAATATGTCTGTTTCAGATATTTATTAAAGTGGCCTCTGCACTGCAGATAGAAATATCCTCAGAAGAACAGACAATATATGTTGTTTAATGAAAAATCTGCTTGAGAACTGCCAGCTCTTCAATTATGTGACCCTACTCATCAGTTATCAGGGACTAATTAAGCCCTGTAATGAACAGGATTGGATAGTCATGTGAGTGAAGCAGAGCCTGGTCCAACAGGGGCTATACAGAGAGCAAGACAACAGCCATCTTGAATGGCTTGACCATACAGATGAGAAATTGAGGATATGTATGAGTAGTATGGTGGAGTAGGAGATTATGGAGGGCTTAGAATTGATGCAGTGGCATGTCTGGAGGCCAAAGGAATTTTCTGCTTATTTCTGGGTGCCATATTTTAAAATGGAAATAGACAAACTATTTTGTCCCGAGTAGGGCAGTCAGCAGATTGAATGTAAGTTGCACAGAGCAATAACTATTGGGTTTCACTGAATTTGGAGTGAAAAATCAAAGACAACAACAAAACATACAGGACTTAGGGTCGGTGAGAGGAGGTTTTAAGGAGAGAAGCCAAGGATTTTCAGCTTAGAAAGATGTGGGATTTATAAAAACAAGGAAGATAAGAAGAGGAATTAATATGGGTAAATGTGATACATTCCGTTTTAGACAAAACAAATTTAGTTGCTAGTGGAAATTGGAAACCAATGGCCTATAATGAAAAAGACTATGCAAGGTAATAATATATATATATATATATATGCTGTACACCAGAAATTAACACAACATTGTAAATCGACTGTACTTCAGTAAAAACAAAAGATACTGGAAATGTATGCTGGTCTTTAGGGGAAAAGATTATCAGATTGTCTACAGATAACTCATATCTGAAACTAGAAAAGGGGAAGATAAAGGCTGAGCATTGGAGACAACCTGCATTTGAAGCTGTGGAAGGAGAAAGTAAATAAAGGAGGCAGTTAGAAAAAGTTCAAGGAGGCAGGAGATCCAGGGAAGTGTAGAGTCTAGAAAAGTCAAAGCAGAATTTCAAGAAGGAAGAGGTGGTGGGGTGGAAAACAGTGATGGAGGAAACTTGGAAAGGCAATTGCGTTTGGTGAGATCTTGGAACCCTGGAGAACGGTGTTAACAGCCGGCGGTTACAATTCATTCAAATTCATGCTGAGCGCTTAATTCCTGCTCGCTATGCTAGGTGCCGAGGACCGGAAGAAGAGCAC